CATAGATGGACATGTGGGCTTTTTCCATACCTTGGCTATTGTTGATAGTGCTGCTATGAACTTTGGGGTGCATGTGCCCCTTTGAAACAGCATACCTGTATCCCTTGGATAAATACCTAGTAGTGTAATTGTTGGGTTGTAGGGTAGTTCTATTTTTAATTTTCTGAGGAACCTCCATACTGTTTTCCAGAGTGGCTGCACCAGTTTGCATTCCCACCAGTGGTGCAACAGAGATCTTCTTTCTCCGCATCCTTGCCAACATCTGTCCTTGCAAAACTGAGTTGTTAATGTTAGCCATTCTGACAGGTGTGAGGTGGTATCTCATTGTGGTTCTGATTTGTATTTTCCTGATGATGGGTGATGTTGAGCATTCTTTCATGTGTTGGTTGGCTATCTGGATGTCTTCTTTGGAGAAATGTCTATTCATGTCTTTTGCCCATTTCTTCACTGGATTATTTGTTTTTTGGGTGTTGAGTTAGATAAGTTCTTTATAGATTTTGGATACTAACCCTTTATCTGATAGGTTGTTTGCAAATATCTTCTCCCATTCTTGTTGGTTGCATTTTAGTTTTGCTGATTGTTTCCTGTGGTGTGCAGACGATTTTTATTTTGAGGAGATCCCAAGAGTTCATTTTTGCTTTTGTTTCCCTTGCCTCTGGAGACGTGTTGAGTAAGAAGTTGCTGAGGCCAAGATCAAAGAGGTTTTTGCCTGCTTTCTCCTCGAGGACTTTGATGGCTTCCTGTCTTACATTTAGGTCTTTCATCCATTTTGAGTTTCTTTTTGTGTATGATGTACGAAAGTGGTCCAGGTTCATTTTTTTGCATGTCGCTGTCCAGTCTTCCCAGTACCACTTGCTGAAGAGACCATCTTTATTCCATTGGATATTCTTTCCTGCTTTGTCAAAGATTAGTTGGACATACGTTTGTGGGTCCATTTCTGGGTTCTCTATTCTGTTCCATTGATCTGAGTGTCTGTTTTTGTGCCAGCAATATATTTTTCTGAGTTCAGTAGTTTCACTACAGGTTTAGAGGGAAATGCTTTCCTACTATTCACTATTAAGAATTTTTTGGTTTTTTAATCAAAGGGTTAGTCAGGAGGGTGTTTCATACTTTTTCCAAGTGGCCATTATTTTTTGTGATATTATTTATTAAAAAGTCTGTTGGGTTACCAATAAAGAATTTGGTGAGTATATCTTTTACTACAACAGTTGTTAAGATATAAAAAAATATAGATATTTTCAGAGACTGTAAAATTCTATGTACACATATATTAAGTCCGGTTTACTGTTTACTAATACTATTTTATTAAGGTTTAACAACGTTAATACAATATACAAATCCTAACAGTACATCTTAATGAAATTCTATGCATATGCATCTGTATATCTGCCATGAGAACAAGCTATAGGACATTGGTTGCACCCAAAGCCCTCTTCCTGCCCCTCCAAGCTGGTAAGCTGGTATCCTGCCTTTCACCAGGGGTTACTGCTATTCTATCTGGTTTTTCCTTTAAAAAAAAAAAAAACATTCTGACCTCCAACTGGTTAAGAATTATTTCATTCCCATGTCCTTATCTTTCATCTACTACATCTGTCCCAATTCTCTCAACCTATAACTTGTCTTTTTATTTATTTATTTTTTTAAAGTAGGCTCTACACCCAACATGGGGCTTGAACTCACAACGCTGAGATCGAGTCGTGTGCTCTACTGACTGAGCCAGCCAGGTGCCCTGCTTGGCTTTTCATTTTGTTATAAACAGAGTATCTTGTGATAAACAGATGTTTTCAGAAATTTTAAAGTAGTAAAAGATTTCTATTTTTTCCTTTACGTTTTTTTGTGTCTAGTTTAAAAAGAAATCCTTACATAATGTGAAGTAAAAAATGTTCTCCTATTAAGTTTTCCTTCTCACATCTAGGTCTTTAATCCATCTGAAATATACTTTGGCGTAGGAAATAGCAATCTAATTATACTGCTGTTCCCGTGGAAGATAACCAGTCCTAGCACCATTTACTGATTAATCCAGCTTTTACCAAGGGATTTTTAATGTCTTTTCTGTTCCTTTTTTTTGGGGTGGGGGAGGAGAGAAGTAGGGGGAGAGAGGGAGGGAGGGAGGGAGGGGGGAGAGAGGCATAGGGAGAGGGAGAGGGAAAGGGAGAGGGAGAGGGGGAGAGAGAGAGAGAGAGAGAGAGAGAGAGAGAGAGAGAGAGAGAGAATGAGCACAACCAGGGGATGGGCAGATGGAGAGAGGGACAGAGGATCTGAAGCAGGCTCACCACTGAAAGCAGAAAGCCTGATGTGGGTCCTGAACCCACGAACCGTGAGATCATGGTCTGAGCTGAAATCGGAGGTTTAACCAACTGAGCAACCCAGGTGCCCCCAATACTGCACAATCTTAATTACAGTGGCTCTGTAGTTACTGTTGATGTATAGTGATAAAGGACCTCTGCACTGTGTTATAATTTTAAAAAACTTTCTTGGGGTGCCTGGGTGGCTCAGTCAGTTGAGCATCCAAGTCTTGATTTCAGCTCAGATCATGATCCCAGAGTTGTGGGATGAACCCTGCAATGAATTCCACACTTAGTGTGGAGCCTGTTTATGATTCTCTCTCTCTCTCTGCCCCTCTCCCCTGGTTATGTGCATGTGCTCTCTCAAAAAAATTTAAAAAAGATATGTAGATTTAAAAATTTTTTTAATTAAAAAACTGTCTTAAAAAACTGACTGCTGGGGTGCTTGGGTGGCTCAGTCAGTTAAGCAACTGACTCGGGCTTGGTCATGATCTCGCTCGTGGTTTGTAGGTTTGAATCCTGCGTGGGTTTCTGTGCCGACAGCTCAGGGCCTGGAGCCTGCTTCGGATTCTGTGTCTCCCTATCTCGCTGACTCTCCCCCACTCACGCTCTCTCTCTCTCAAAAATAAATAAAACTTCAAAAAAAAAAATAAATTTCAGCATCAATTTCATAACTGTAGAACTGTTGAGATTTTGATTAGAATGGCTTTCACTGTATAGGTAAATTTGAGGCAAATTGGCATCTTGATAACCCCAAACCTTGTGAACATATTATATTTCCATTTATTTGGAAATTCTCTAACGTCATTCAATTTCCTCTATAAAGGTTTTACATATAAAATGCTTGATTTATTCCTATGTAAATGTTTTTGTTACTGACGGTTTTCTTTTTTTTAATATTCTCATAAATCTTTATTTATTTATATTTTTAAATGTTTTTATTTCTCTGAGACAGAGACAGAGAGAGAGAGAGAGGGAGAGAGAGAGAGAACACAAGAGGGGGAGGGGCAGAGAGCAAGCGGGAGACACAGAATCCGAGGTTGAGCTGTCAGCACAGAACCTGACATAGGGCTTGGACTCAGGAACCGCAAGACTGTGACCTGAGCCAAAGTCAGACATGTAACCAACTGAGCCACCCACGCACCCCTGTTAATTTTCTTATAATATATAAAATTTACCATTTTAACTATCTCTTAAAAAAAATGTTAAGTTTACTTATTTATTTAGAGAGAGAGAGAGCATGAGCAGGGGAGGAACAGAGAGAGAGAGAATCCCAAGCAGGCTGTGCACTATAGCCTGACTCAAGGTTCAAATACATGAACTATGAGATCATGATCTGAGCCAAAATCACAAACCGGATGCTTAACTGAGCCACCAAGGTGCCCATTTTAACCACTTAAGTATATAATCCAGTGGCATTAAGTACCTTCACAATGTTATATAACCATTACCACTATCTATTTCTAGAACTTTGTTATCATTCTAATCGGACTCCATACCCATTAAATAATAACTCCAAATTCCGCTGCCCTTCCCTAGCCCTGGTAACCTCTATTCTACTTTCTCTGTGTGTTTGCCTATCCTAGGTACCTCATATATGTGTAATCACACAATATTTGTCCCTTTGTGTCTGATTTATTGTATTTAGCATAAGGTTTCCAAGGTTCATCCATGTTATAGCATGCATCAGAATTTCATTCATCTTTATGGCTGAAAAATATTCCATGGTATGTATATACCACATTTTGTTGATCCATTCACATGCTGATGGACTCTTAAGTTGTTTTCCACCTTTTGTCTGCTGTGAATAATGCTGCTATAATAAACACTGGTGCACAACTATCTGTGTGGGTCCCTGCTTTTAGGTAGTGGAAATATTGGATCTTATTGTAATTCTTGTTTAACTTTTTGAAGAACCACCAGACTGTGTTTTCCATAAATGGCTGTACCATTTTATGTCCTTACCAGTAATGCACACAGGTTCCAGTTTCTCCACATCCTTGCCAATACTATTGACCATTTAAAAACAATTTTTTTTTAATGTTTTTATTCAAGAGCGAGCGAGAGCAGGGGAAGGGCAGAGATAGAGAGAGAGAGAGAGAGAGAGAGAGAGAGAGAGAGAGAGATCCAAAGCAGGCTCCAGGCTCTGAGCTGTCAGCACAGAGTCAGAGGAGGGGCCCAAACTAGTGAACTGCAAGATCATGACTTGAGTCAAAGTCAGTTGCTTAACCAACTGAGCCACCCAGGTGCCCTATTTCCCATTTTTAGAAAAAAAAGAAAATCCTACTGGGGTATGAAGTAGTATCTCATCGTGGTTTTGATCTGCATTTCCTTAATGACTAAAAGATGGCAAACATCTTTTCACATGCTTACTGGCCATTTGTGTATCTTCTTTGGAGAAATGTTGATTTAAGTCCTTTGCCCATTTTTGAATTTTCTTTCTGTTTGTGTGGTTGAATTGTGGGAATTCTTTATGTGTTCTGGATATTAATCTCTTTTCAGATATATAGTTTGCAAATATTTTCTCTCATTCTGTGGGGTGTCTTTTTACTCTCTTGAGAGTGACCTTTGTTTGATGCACAAAACTTTTATTTGATAAAGTTCAATTTTATTATTTTTTCTTCTGTTGCTATTGCTTTTGGTGTCATATCCAAAAAATCACTGCCAAGTCTAATATCATGAAGATTTCCCCCTATGTTTTATTTGTTTTGTTTGGGATACCATTAGGTTATTATAAAAGAGAGACATGGAAATTATTTACATGATGGAAGATTTCACAACTTTACTAGAATGGGCAGCTTCACATGACGCCATTTCAATAATGATTTATTTTAGCCTACATACTTCCTGAGAATGTCACCAGAAATAATCCTTGTCATCCAGAACTACTTTGGTGCTTCCATATTCTGGGAGAATTTTATCTCCAACTTTCACGCTAACTAGTTGAATCTCTCTCTTTTCTCTAGAGCCCCATCCATACACTTTTCCTTGAGATTTTTCTGGAAGCAAAATGCCTCCTTTGGTTACAGTTTTGGCTATACTCCTTTCAACTAAAACTTGGTCAAAGAGGGGAAGAAACTTTCTAAATGCCTGTCCTGACATGACTGGCTGCTGCAGTTCAACTGTACTTTGCTTTTGAGCTGCCACCACCACAAGGAGA